AAAAGTCATAAATCACATATTGTGAACATTTGTGACAAATGCTCAGGGGGACCTTCCAGATATCCTCATTTTTATACTTATGTGCTCCTATTAGCTCCTATATGCTCCTATATACTGTAAAATGCCCCAAAATGGCTTTATCTGCATGGATAGTCCAGTAATTACTTAGCATTCCCCCCCTTTATGATACTAATTCCCAGAGGGGGTGTTTCCTGATGTCGAGCACTATGAGGCCCTCCTATTGGAGGCTCAGGAAACCACTTCCTTCAGTGCGACAATCCCAAATTCGAAACTGGACGTTTCGATCGACCCCCCCACAAAGCTATATCACATACTCGTTCGGCTGGCTGATCTATACGTGGATCGCTATAGGCACAATTACGAGCAATGCGATCTGGAGCTTGCGGTAAAATATGGGCAAGAAGCCCTGTTGGGGTGCCGCACAGCTGGGATACGTTGCCCTACAGTACTGGGGCTCTTCGCGAGAATATTAGATGGCAACTCAGAGGACATTTCCCGGAAAGAAGATAGGATCGTTGCAGAGTCGCTCTGCAGAGAAGCCATCTCACTCTGCGCAACGGGAACCTACTTGGCAGCAACTGTTCGCCTTAATCTGGCATGGATTCTGGGGAGGTTATCCAAAATTAACGGGCCTCATACTTTGATCAACGAAGCAGTCGACATCCAGCGACAGGCCTTGGTTGACCTGCCTCCATCTCATTGTTACGATCAACATCGACATCTGCGATTCCTAGGGGTGTATCTACGCTACCGATACCATATTTTCGGAAGACCAGATGATTTGGATGAATGCCTTGATGTTTTCGCGCAGGCCGTGCACTTATGTCCAAAGATGCACATTGATCGGTGCAAGACAGTAAATGAGATGCTCTGGGCGCTATATGCGAAGGCTGCGCGCTCTGGCGCTATCAATGAGCTCAACAAAGCGATTGAACTTGGACTGAACACTCTCAAAGAAGTCTCCGGTGCTGGACTGGGGCGCCTCGACTGCCTCCGTGTGGTAGCAGGTCTTCTCGACCTTCGCCATCAGCTCGCTCCATCCGATGGGCGCGACCTCGAAAAGTCAGTCACTCTGAACCGGGAAGCTTTGCAACTATGCCCTCCCAACCGAGCAGACTATTGGATGTACTTGGAACACTTGGCGCTCGAATTGCATTTGCAGTACAACTGGACCGGAGAGATAAGTTGTCTCGAAGAATCTATTGAACTCGGGCGTTCTTCGATCGATTCAATTCCAACTACCCACGCTCATCGATTCATTCCCGCTCGCGATCTGGCGCATTCACTGATGCTCCGCTTCAACGAGACAAGGCGGATCTCTGATCTCGATGAAGCCATCAAATGGGATCGTATGGCCCTGGCGAGCTGTGGGACCTCACATGTGTTCTATCCGGCGATTTCTGCTCAAGCTGTCTCTCGTCTTTGCATGTTATTTGATGCTCGGGGCTCATTCGAGGCTTTGGAAGAAGCGATTACCCTCGGCAACACCGTCCTGGATACGATGGCTTCCGATCATGCACAACGCAGCGATGTTATCCTCGAGCTGTCGAAAGCTTTGTTACGCCGCGGGAGACATCAAGGGAACGTCGCGGACATCGACCGCTCCATCTCGGAGCTAGCAGGTATCAAGGAAGTGATGCTTCAGCGAACAGAGGGTCCTAAACTTCTGAGCACCCTCGCCGATTGTCATATTGTGAGATTTCGCTTCAATTGCAGCTACAAAGACGCGAACGATGCCTTGGAGATTATCACTGGCTTGTTGGATACCCTGCACCCTGGCCGTCCCGAGAGGTTTCAATGCCTCATAGGTGCCGCAGAACTCCACATGGAGCTAGGAACATCTTATCGGAGTATCCAGGCTGCACTCTCGCATTTAGCCGGTGCTCTATCAGACGAACACCGGGACGTTCGTTCTCGGATTGAAGGAGCACGTCGCATACTCGATATTGCTGTGTCGCAATATCAGGATATCGTCTCCTCTGAGGCCGCAGCAGATCGCCAACTGCTGGATATATTTGCTCTTGTGGTGGGACTTCTGCCCCGAGTGGCCTTCTTTGATCTTCATCTTCATACCCGACTCCAGTCTCTAGCTATCGGCCAGAGCATCGCTCTCACCGGCGCATCTCACGCGCTCATCATCGGTTCATCTCAGAAAGCACTGGAAATCCTTGAGCAGGGCCGTGCGGTCTTCTGGACCCATGCACTACGCTTGCGCTCTCCGTTCGACGCAGCGCCCAAGGAGCTCAGAGAACGATTGTTGATCCTTGCCCGACAGCTGGAGAAAGTGCGCGACAGCTCGTTTACGGGCGAGAACCCGGGTGCCGTCGAAGCGGAGATCGCACGGAGAAGGGGTCAGATCGAAGAATTTAACGTGCTGCTCAACCAGGTTCGCAAACAACCTGGACTGAACAGATTCCTGCTGCACGACGAGTTTACGACGCTGAGAAAGGCCTCCGAAAGAGGACCGGTCGTAGTGTTGGTTTCCAGTGCGCTGGGGTGCCACGCTATCATTCTCAAGCAGGGGGGCGACTGTGTCAACATCCCTATCGAGCGTCTTCCTGATACTTGGCTCGCACATTCCGGCACGGAGTGGCGATCGATCATCGTAGAGGCGAGGGCGGAGATGCGCTACTGCAGAAAGATGGAAAAATCGAAAATCCCGAAGGCTCGAAGGACGGCTGGCGACGAAATCTTGCGCCAGTTATGGATTGAGGTGGTGAGACCAGTCCTCAGTGCTCTAGGGCTCGAAGTATGAGATAACCCTCTACATTATCGTGGCATAAGGCTCACCAGTTGCTTCTAGCCCGCCGAAGGTCGAAACCGTCCTCGCATATGGTGGTGCCCTACTGGAAACTTTGCTCACTTACCGATCCATGCAGCCGGTGTTGGCGGAGAGTGGTGCTCAGATTACGTCGTCTCCTCCTACATACCGACCATCGGGTCCCTTCTTGCTGCCAGAAACGCGTATTCGCCCATCCTCAAGGACAACGTTCAAGCGCTCGTCGCTGCAACGCCTCGGTCGAGCATGTCGCAGTGGAGCGACCTTATCAACACGCGCGAAGAAGCGAGAGCGATCCGTGCCGTCTTACCAAGCGGATCCATGATGGAGCTGTCTCCCGCAGACGACGCTTGCATTGAGGGCGAAAACGGGATCACGGCGGAGACGCTGCTAAAGCTGCTCCCACAGACGAACATCCTGCACCTCGCGTGCCATGGCCATCAAGATCTGGAGAATCCGTTGCAGAGCGGATTCATTCTGCGTGACGAGAAACTCACGATCGAACGACTCATGCCTGTACCCCTCCCTCGCGCGTTCATGGCATTCTTGAGTGCTTGCGAAACAGCCAAAGGTGACTTCGTGAGTACCAATACCGGTCGAGATCATGGTGCCACTGAACAACGTGCGCATGCAGAATCAGCCTGATCAGGTGGTCCATCTCGCCGCCGCCATGTTCTTCGCAGGATTCAAAAGCGTCATCGCTACGCTCTGGTCAGTTTGCAGCTATCCACCTCTATGATACCGACTTACAACCGACTGTCAAGGTCCATGGCGGACGCGGACGGGCCGGAGATAGCTCGATCTGTATACCAGAAGATATTCAGCGGCAAATTGGATCACATCGACCCCGATGACATCGCGTACGCCCTCGACGAGGCCGTCACGAAACTACGAACCGTCCAGCCTGAGCCGCTCCGATGGGCACCGTATATACACCTAGGGATTTGAGCGTGCGCCAATATATGTCATTGGTTCGAAATGTACAACGGAGGAGGCCGTGAGTACAAGCCTACAATGAGCGATACCGGTTGCTCTGGACTCCGTCCTTGGTACGTACTCCTCTCCGAAGACGAGGTTATCCACGACGGCCTCGCTCCATCGGATTCGCGGATTAATTTCTCACATGTATACCGTGCCGTCGTGTTTGAACATCTTCGTCTCTTCGAACCTCATCATGGTCCAGAAGCCGCCCGCGAGCTGCAGGACCTCGATGACGGGTAGGCACCCCTCGGTGCAGCTGGAGAGCAGCGAAATCGGGACAATGCGTTTTGCGACCAAGGCGAGGTGAATGGTGTCTTGAACTCCCGAGTCGAGGCCCTAAGATTATGGGCATGTTGGGCGGATCACTCTGACGTGGTTAAGATATGTCGCTGACGTGGTCTCCAATGGGAGGATGAACGTGAACAGCATCTGAGAAAATGGCATTGTTGAGAATATACAGTCACTCGAGCGTGCGCGATCTGACCTCCACGAACACCCTCCCCTCACTGAGCGGTCGACTATACGACTGCTCGTTCTGCAGGTCGAGAAAATGAGACATCATGCCATACAACCGGTATCGGATGACTGACATATACTCCCGCAATCCAATACACGTTCGCAAGCCGTCAGGGTCGGATATGATCTTCAGGGCCCGCCGAGAGAGACGTTGTCCGACCGTCATAACCTGCACAAGATCCGGGCGGGCTCGAATACTGTCGGTCGCACTACCGCACTGATAGGCATCACGAGTAAGCTCAAAGATCTAGGAAACACTGGATCCACGCACCAAGGTTCGCGGGCATGTCCGAACCCGTATTGGGATCGCGCTGCCCGGGAGGTGTGTATTACCAAACGGTTTGCAGGCTACGATGAATGAAGAACCAACGTCTATCCCGGGCTGCTGCATGCGCAGGTCGGCGACTCCCCACTGTCCTACATGCCGGTCGTCATGGAACGACAGACTAAGGATGTTGCGGATGGTGCCTACTCAACGGTTGGCACCAACGCTGCATTGTGCCAAAGAAGTGATAATGACCTACCTCTAGCCCCGTCAACAACCATCACTTGGTTAACTTGACCTTCGCGGGGACAACAGTGATCTTGTTCGCATTTTACTCGAGATCCCCGTAGCGCCGCGTTCGTCTCGATGTGAACACCATAATCCTTTCGCTGATCTATCCGCAAGCAGCGCGTGCAGCCGGGGCTGGCCGATGATCGCCCCTTTCGCCTGCGGAGTAGGGATGCCTATCAGCCAAAGTGTAGTAGTCGTGCCATGCTCCGAGAACTTACAAGAGGAAGGGATAGACTCGGCTCCATCTGGATCCTGAAGGCTACTGCCTCCAACACGATTCCTCTCCGTTTCCAAAGCGAGAATCAGAGCAAGTATCAAGCCGGTAGGCCCTGCTCCGACCTAAGAACAGCGGAATGAACGCGATGCCACGATGTAGAGTGGGTGTATGCACGTACCCTGAAGATGGATGGCGACTCGGGACGTTGTTGGGCTATGCAAGTTGCGAGATCAGTTGGACCTCCGGGTAGCAGAAGATACGGTGGGTGATTCGTGTCGTGTACGAGTAAAGTATCATGAGCTTTGTTTGCGTTCAAGCTAGGCGTCGGGTCGACATCGCGTCACAGGTCCTCGCGACCGCGTTGGCGTTCCCTTCAGACTCCTCAGAATCGTCTAATGTTGAGTATATTGACCAGGCGGTACGTGCGTCAGCTTTCGGGGTCAGCGAAGTCGTCGAGACCGGTCGTCGCGTCAATCGTGCGGCGTTCACGCGTCTCTCGTCCACCACACAGACCGAGGTGACACTCGTGGTCATCATCTGATTATCCTCTACCGACAGACAGTGCTATGTGAGATACCACTTGTTGATACGTCTAAACGCAACTCTCGTCCATAGAGCATTCAGCTCGACTTGGCGACGCTAGTATGTAGCGCCTCCGAACTGCGCTTCCGTGTACTTCTTCAGGCCTTCTGTTCCGTAAACATACGCCCCGACATATCCATCTGGCCGGACAAGCACCAGCGCCTGACTGTGATCATCTCCGACCCCATACTCGCGGAACGCGTGCCCTGCATTATCCAGCAGTACGACATCGGCTCCTTCGGTCAGCGTCGCAG